AACAAACCAGAAACTCCTAACGAGAAATCATTCGTTTTCCACTACCAAACTCAACCCGGTAGAACCCATTTTCAGACAACCCACTTCATCTTCATTAATCTCACCGCAAAACCCATGATTGAAAACCCATATTCAAAACCTTCACAAGCTCCGTCCACCGGAATCAACCTCATCCTTCCTCAAACCTCAGCAACAACTCAAATCTTCAAAACCAACCCAGATTCAACTTGTTTCCTCCCTTCGAACAACACAAACAACCCATTAACCTTCTTCGCGAGCCACCCCTGTTCTTCCGACGAAACCCAACCTTCATCAAATCCTCAAACCCCTTAGATATGAAAATCGAAAAACCAAAGTCAAACATGGAGAAAACGAGATTGAGAGGAGATCAAGACGATATCAAAACAAGGGACAAATCCAAACCTGAAGATCATTTTAAACCGAACAAATAGCAAGAGTTTGAGAGGAGACGAAGGGGATTGTGGTTGGGATTTCATTTCGTTTTTTCTTCTTCGATTTCATTTGTTCTTCCTCTTCCGAATGTTGTAAATAGCGATAGCCATGGGGATTTTGACCGCAACCCTTCTTGATTTCTTTGTTCTGAAGTTTATGTTATCAGAGAACTGTTCGTCCGTGTGTACCAAATGCACTGAAGCATGCTTGAGGTGGATGGGTCGGGTGGCCCATCGTGTTTTTTTTAATTCATTTTCTGATTGTTTTTTTGTTATTAATAATGGGCTAGACCCATGTTTGGTTGCTGCCCACCATCACATACCACCCTTGTGATTTTGAAACCCCCCGGATTCATAACCCCTCCCCTTCTTTTTTCTTTGTTTTATTTTTATTATCAAAAACAGTTTTACGTATTATATTTTGTAAATATATTTAATTTTAGTTTTATATATTAATATTTCTTTTAGATTTCTTTTTCTTTAGAATTTACATTATATAAGCTTCATATTTTATTTTTCTTTTAAAATTTTATATTTAAGTTTTGAGATTTATTTTCTCTTTAAAGTTGAATTCCATTTCTCTTTTGTTATTGGACATTTTATTCCACTTTTGCCCTTTTAGGTCGATGACGAGACCTCCGTAAATCATTACCAGTCAAATTATTGATGAATAATGTTGGATCTGAGACCACTTCTTTCTCTCCTCATTTCTTTTCATCTTTCGATTTTATTTTGAATTTTGGTGATCGATGAAGTCTTGTAAGACGAGATCCCACTGTTTTTGGGTCCGTGCGACATGATTCAATTGGAGAACGATCCTCAATATCGTTTCTCTATCTTGTCCATGGCACGAAAATTAGTACGCGACCTCTTCAAGTTTGATTTCCCTTATAAGTCGAGCTATGACGGTCCAGCGTCACATTGGTTCTGATTCAAAGTATCATCAAGGACCAAAAGAGGAGAAGATTGGAATGGAGGTTGCGCATAATGTCAAGGGTCAACGAAACCACTTCGTTCGGTAACATCTATCTAATTCAAGTCTTTTAATCAACCGTCGAGCGTTGTAAGTTCTAAGCAATAGATACGTAGGAAATGGTGATTGAGGGGTTTCCTCTTAATGGCCTAGAGTGTTTAGTGTAGCACCCTTTAGGTGATATACGACACATTCGCTCCTACGCCTTAGGTTCTTGCGTGTGTATCCCGAGTTCCTTCCCGTTTAGGCGTGTTAGGCCTGCTTCCTCTTTTCCCTCGCCACTGTGCGATGAAAACTCCTTTCTCTCGCATTCTGGCAATTGAGATCCCCCCTCTTGCCTCCATGCAACCGAGACTCCCTTTTCTCTCGCTTCCGCGTGATCGAGACCGTTTTCCGTAGTTAGCCGAACTACGGCTGCTCTAATATCTCATATCTGTTGAGAGTACGTAGGCATAGGATTGCGATAATCCTAGCGAGCACACTTTTCCTTCCCCCTTAGGTAACCCGTACCTTTAAACCAATGACATACTACGTCCGTTCTACCGCAAACAGGTAACACCTAAGTCTCCAATGGTCGAGCAGCAATACACCTAACTGCTAGAATGCGTGCGCTAGTATCGTCAACATTTTCTCTCACCCTTGTATGATCGAGAACACCCTGTTTACCCGTAGTTAGCCTGAACTACATTTTGCTCTGATTTCTCGTACCAGACGAGAGTACGTAGGCACAAGACGCGACGTCTTGGCGAGCAATACCCCCCGTAGTTTCCCGAACTACGTTGACTCTGACTTTCCCATTGCACGAGGGAATACATAGGCATAGAGCAGCGACACTCTATCGAGTCAGTTTTTTCTGTTTCTTTCAGTTCTTTCCGTTTAGCTTTAGCAGCCGTAGATAGTTTATTTTTCACCCATAGACTAGACAATAAGCGTGGATCCCGTCGAGTACGACGGACGTGAGGGGTGTTAATATCTTCCCCTTGTATAACCGACTCCCGAACCCGAGATTTGGTTGCGATGGTCGATCTTATCCCTCTTTTCGTTAGGTTTTCTATGAGTATTTCCTTTCCCTCTCTTGGGATAAATAACGCACGGTGGCGACTCTTATGTCATTGTCGGCCCCGATTTTCGCAGTAGCGACACCATTCCCTGTGAAAATGCTCTCTTAAGTATTCATCGTTCCAGGAAGAAACTGAGACCCGTTCTTGGCATACAACCTTGAGGCATGGGGAGGTTTATTTTGCCCTTTTCAAGTGGAATACTTGATTAAAGAAGAAACTGAATTATGTCTTGATCAGGAAAATTCATTTTGGTTATTACCTTTGCTTAGCCTATCATACGTTTGATAGTAGGTAATATATCGTATCATTTTGGTTTTTACCTTTTCTTAGGCTATCATACGGATTGGTAGTAGGTCATTTTTCCTTTTCATGTTACCTTTTCTTAGGCTATCATACGTTTGATAGTAGGTAATATACCGTATCATTTTGGACAGATACCTTTGCTTAGGCTACCAGGATTGGTAGTAGGTCATCTTTCCTTTTCATGTTACCTTTGCTTAGGCTATGATACGTTTGATAGTAGGTAATATACCGTATTATTTTGGACATATACCTTTTCTTAGGCTACCAGGATTGGTAGTACGCCAAGGATTTTGATTTGAATAAGATGAAGCAAAAAGAAACATTATTGAAATGTTTTTAACTTCGACGAGAGTGCTATTGGAGATTTTAATCGAAATGATGATCCTTTATGAGAAGGATGTGTTGTAGCAAGACTTAGAAATATTTTTAAGTCTGAATGGAAATTTCGGCGGAGGCTATATGTGGCTTGCGTTCGACGAAGATTTAAATTTCAAATAAGGATAATAACTGTCTTTTGTTCTTATCCGTTTCTTGGAAATAAAGTGTGGAAGACTATGGTGAATTGAAGACATGCAGAGCAAAACGTGTCATTTTCTAAAGGAATGACCGTTAATACAGTTATTTTCGACGTAGTACAAATACTTACAAGGTCACTCAAAATATCTAAGTTAATTGAGAAAAGAGTTTTCGCTGAGAATGTACGTTTGAAACACCACATTTCATTTTAATTGAAAGTTATTTTCAATTTACCATTTATTCCTTCATTGCAATTTTACTTTGAAGTTTTTTTATTGCACATTTCTTTACAATTCTCCAAAGTATATTCTTTTTAGAAAACTTTAAACAATCTTTTACAAGCATGAGCACTGTCAAAGTCTTCTTGTTATTTCTAGAAATTGTTTAAATGATAGCTATATCTAAAAATTCACTGATGGATCCTGTAAGTAAATCATTTTTTGGAAGACCAGCGGTTGTTTACCAATTTTCATGGTAAACAATAGTATAACCAAATTAGTTTCGACATACTCATCTCTGAACTGAAAAACTCAACTCAGTTTTGAACTGAAAACCCAACTCGTAAATTTTGTTTATATTCTGGATTATACTATGTTGTTCTGAAATGTGATTTTGTTTTGGGTTGTTAAATGCGTTAATGTTGTGCCTTGATTTGATCATTCTGAACATTTATTTATATTCTGTTGTAGATCATCTGATACCCAAGTTGTGAGACTTAGAGTACACCATCAGAGATATTTACTACATAATCCAGTGAAATTGTATGTTGATGGACTTGTTTCTGAAATGAATTGGGTTTAGGTTTGGACTTAATATCCTATATGCAAATTAAAAAATTGATCAAAAGTGGAGAATATTGTAATATAAAGTGTTTATGGTATTTAAATCTTAACTTTTTTTTTTTTTTTTATCATGGATTTTGGCCTTTGAATAATGACAATGTGTTAAAGGTTAATAGAAGAAAGACCAATGATTCAACATGAATCAGATGATTCAAATGTCATAGTTTTATGGATGTGGTTAGTTTCTATTTTATGTTTAAAATAAACTTGATCATTCTAGTTTGATCAGCTAGTTTGATTTTGTATCGTAAACATTTTGTGAAAATTGCTCAGATGTTTTGAATAAGTTTAATTTTATTCGAATTCTTGTAAATATTGTAAAGTGGGTTGTATTTATTTTTGTTTTAGTTTAACTAATAGATTGGAATTGGAATTAATGAAAAAAAATTGCTTACTTTACTTAAACATTTTGATGATGATGACCTTAACTTCTTCCTAAATCAATTCTCTATCATACAAGAAATAAGTGTTACTAAGAGTTTTACTAAATCAATTCTCTATCATACAAGAAATATGTTGGTTGGAATTTGTTTATTCAATTAAAGTTCTGTTCCTATTTTCAGAGCACAAACATTTTTTTACTTCTAAACAACCAAAACATCATTCTATGCACAAATTCACGTTTTCATCTATACATTTCCAGAGCACAAACATTGTTTACTTCTAAACAACCAAAAAAAAATCATTCTATTCACAAATCCACGTTTTCATCTATCAACTATTTTCAACCGCATATAAAGTTTCTCATTAAAAGCCCTAAACTGCAAAATGAGGTCAAAGGTATCATCACAAATGAGTTACTGCTATCTACACTCACTCCAGTTCATTGGAACATTAGCCCAGATCAAAATTGTCAGTCTTTCTGTTGAGTCCATATCTTGATAGTCGTATCATTGCCGCGAGCTCCCGAAGCAATCATGTTCTCCGTCGGGTGACACGAGACAGCTTTGACTATATCTGTATGACCTTCCATCTTCTGTACAATTTTCCTCGACTGCAGATCCCACAAGTATACACGGCTATCTTCTGAACCACTAACAACATACTTCCCATTAGTGGTAGAAAATGAGGACGAAATACTGTATTTTTTATTAACATGACCACGGTAAGATTTCACAACCTTCCCAATAGAATGGTTCCAAAGCCTCTGCAGGGACACAGAAATTCCCATGTAAGTCAATCGGAACATTGAAAATCTAATTAAGTACTTGTTTGCCAATCCCTTCTAAAGAGACCTCAATACACGTTTCTGAAGTCCAAAAATAAATTGACAAGAGAAGAATAAGAAAAGAAATCCTCACATACAACAGACCAATCAAATAAACAACACACTCTGAAAAGTGAGTAACCCAACAGCATAGATAGAGAGTTACATAATTCATTCAGCTTCTAAATGAGTAAAGTGAAAAGTGAGAAAATTAAGGGTTGTTATTTTAACAAACTTGTAACTTGTTATGATGTATCTAAAATATCTACCCTTATTTGCAAATCAATGATCGACATTACTCACTTTATACATTAAAGTGAGTAATAATTTTATTTTCAAATAAAAATGTAATAATTTTTTAACAACAGTTTTAAAGTATAATATTAGACTGCAATTATCTATTCAATTGGGTTATATCAACAATATTAGACTGCAATTATCTATTCAATTGGACTAATATGAAACTACATTTGAATGCAACATTCTATTAAATTGGACTCATATCAACCATATTTGAATGCAACGTTCTATTCAATTGGACTCGTATCAACTATGTGAATGCAACATTCTATTAAATTGGACTCATATCAACTATATTTGACTACAACATTCTATTCAATTGGACTCATATCAACTATATTTGGCTACAACATTCTATTCAATTAGAGCCATATCATTCAACTATACTATATTTGGTTGCAAATTTCTATTCAAACGGATTCATATCAACCATATTTGAGTGCAATAATTTGAGTCATATCAATTATATTTAACTGCAATTCTCTATTCGAACTCATATCAACTACATTTGATATCTCTATTGTTTTATCGAACAAATCACGATGCTACTGCAATTTAAAACGAGGCTAACCGAAAACAAAATCGAAATTCAGTTAATGAGAGAGAAGTGAAATATTACCAAAGTGTTATTCTCGGTAGCAACAAGAACCATCTTTGAATTGGGTGAAAACTTGACAAATGTAACAGGAGCATCCTCTTCCACATCATAAATGAGAGTCTTCATACAGTGACCAGTAGAAACATCCCAAAGCCTGCAAAAGCCATCATAGCTACCAGAAACCATGACAGTCCCATCGCCATTAAAATCAATCGCACTAAGAGGTTCAGAATGGGCAGGAATATCATTAAGACATTCCCCAGACCTAACATCCCACATCCTAATAGTCTCATCATACGATCCCGCAGCGATGATATTCGAATGAGGATGGAAATTAACGCAGAAGAAGAAGGTATCATGGCCTTCAAAAGTCTGGATTAGCGACCCCGTGGGAACGTCCCATAGACGGACGGTTTTGTCGGGGGAGGTGGAGACGAGGAGACTAGAGTCGGGAGAGAGAGCAAAGTCGGAAACGACGCTCAAATGACCTTCGTATTGTTGCATGGGAGATAGGGTTAGCGTGTTGGAATCGGAGTCGGAGTTGGTGAAGGCGTAGGTGCGGATGGTTCCGTCGAAGGAGGAAGAGGCAAGAAGACGGCCGTTGGAGGAGAATTTGACGGTGGTGATTGAATGTTGGTGAGAGGTTAGGGTTTGTGAGAGTGTGTAGGGTTTGAAGCTTGATGATGATGATGTTGATGATGATGAAGCCATTGCTTCTGCTATGGAAATTCAGTTTCTTGTGTGGATCAGAATTCAGTTCTTGAAATTGAAATGCAGAGTGAAGAGTTTGTCAGAAGAGAGGTGATTTGTATTATATACAAGAATGGAATGTGATGAGTTTTTCTTTATCAAACTATTGCTTCATTGATTAAGCGAAGTTGGTGAAGGCGTATGTTTAAATTTTAGAATTCAATGTGATCGCATTTTAAAATTTAAATATTCCTTATAAGTCACATCACATCTCCATTTCCTTTTTTTTAGTAATAAAGAAAAACTTAAAACCTTTTAAATTTAAATGTGATCAAATACATTAATTCTTTAAATTTGCTCATATCAACTTATAAAAAAGGGGAGAAAATATTAATAAGGGATTAATATACATTTTTTTTTTTAAAAATTGATTTTATTGTTTCATTTTTTTATTATTGGTTTTGTTCGGATTATAAGGAGGATTCATCTTTTTAGATGTCTTAAAAATATTAAGGATTATATTTTTTCCATATCTTTTGGTCAAGGTTTATTTTGATCATTTAATTTTAACACAATTATTTTGATCCTTTAATTATCCAATCAATGTCACGTTTGTCCTTGACGTCAAAGGCGTTAGTCAAAGTTAATGAATGATGTCGGTTGTCAATTTGGTAGATTAGTAATTGCTTATGTGGATTATTTTCTACTAAGTTGGAATACTTAAGGAATGTAGGGTTTCATTTACCTCATTTGTTCAAAATCGTCTGAAGGAAATGTTTCATAATCTCTAAGAACGAAGTGGTGAGAACGAAAAGTTGGGAATGCAGGTTAAGAACGAAAGGACAAACGAAGGCCGAGAACGACGAAACGACGACTAGGAACGAATGAACGAAGGCTGAATCGAAAAGAGGAAGACAAGTTTACTGGTAAGTCCAAAGTTTTGCCTCTTTAAAAATTAGGTTTTAGTCAGTTTTCTAAATTCTCCCCTTTCTAATAAATGATTTACATGGTTTTTTATTTACCGGGTGCAATCTATTAAAAATCATTTATATTTAATGTATAAAACTCGTTTTAGGCTACACTCATCGTATTAGGGTTTTTGTTGGATCTTTTTAAAATGTTAAGTGTTGTATGTTTCTCTGTTGGTTTTAAGAATATGTGTTGTAGCAATGTTGAATGTATACATTAGTTTGAGTTTTAGGAATTTGCATTGTTGATGTTTGTAAATGAAATTATCTATTAGTTATGAATATGTAGTTTTACTTTTAGGTGAGAAATTGATTAATTTGTTCGTGTTTTTATTCACTATGGAGGTGAATTTGTAGATGTTGAGTACTCTAATTATGAAGGATTAGTTTCTGAGGTGAAAGGTGATGTAGATACGTGGGGAAATTTTAAAGTGGTACGGATTATTAAAGAACTAGGTTATAAAGAAGCTGGAAAAATATTTTACAAGGATCCCACATTGGGTATGTGTACTTTGAGTGATGAAAAATGTGCTCAAGATGTAGTTGATTTATGTAAGATATATTTGAGTGTTCATATGTATGTATAAAATCCTCTTTCTCAACCCGACTATTATGATGGTCCTTTAGAGGAAGAAACCGTAAACCCTGAGGATGTTATTTGATCTGACCTAATCAGAAGGGGATCACGGGCTGGCCACACGCTGTTGGACTGTTGCCTGTTCACCGGTGATGAGGAGGAGAAGGGGGGTATACCTGCAAGGCACTCTGATGCCAAAGTAAGTATATGGGCAGAGTGGTCACAAGCACGGAAAAAGGGTAAGAAGTGAATTACCTGACCCTCTTGAGGAAGAGGGTATTTATAGAGAGACCCCAGCGCTGGGCCAGCGGTCACTTGTGTTGGGCTGGATGTCCAGGCCCAACTCAGGTGACTGCTAGGGCTTACATGGCGTAGTGAAGACCGGGACGTGGTCTTCGCCCTAGTCCAACTGTCCCGTGGTCTCCGGAAAGTGGGTTTGACCTGCTCTTTCGGAGGTGGGCAGTTGGGGGATGACGTGTCCCCGCGGAGGAGAGCACGTGGAGAACGTGCACATGACACATTGTTATCCCCGCGGAGAGGAGCTCGCGAGGTCCCTGAGTGCACGTTGTTTTGCTCGCGGAGGAGAACACACGAGGCGGGGGAGACATATCGTCCTGCTCGTTGGTATGGGGATTCTGCCCGTGGAGGGCTGCTCTGTCCGACTAGAGAAGAGCGTTGGGGGCATTTGGAAGCATGTCGTCCTGTTCGGCGAAGTATGCCCTGCCCGTTGAGGGGGTCGCCTGCCCGGCCAGCCTACTCAACTCATATTGGGCCTTGGCTGTGCGTTATTTGGCCGGGCCGCGAGGTGAGGTCGGGCCCAGGCCAGAACATTATTAATCTTGAGGTCGAAGAAGAAGAGATTCTAAAGTTATATGAGGAAGTTATCAAATGAACAAAAGGAAATATAGATAAGATGGCTAATGGTGAAGTTAATGGGGCTAAGGTGAATAGGGGTAAAGTCAATGGGGCGTAGGTTAATGGGGTTGAGGTAAAGTTAATGGGGTTGAGGGTGAAGTTAATGAAGATAAGATGAATGTGGATGAAGTTAATGATGTTGAGCTGACTAACACAAAGGTAAGAGATGTTAGGCTTGATATTTCTAATAATGATAGTGATGATATTGTTGGCTGGAAAATTTCGACCAAGAAAAGAGAAGCAAGTCAAAGGGAAGCTTGACATCACAAACGAAGAATTCAAAGCAAGTTCGACGGAAGATCCTGCAGACCAAGGTCAAAGAAGTCCCGACAGACTACCTGTCAGAAGGAAGTTGTAGAAAGCTTGGCAGATAGTCATTCTGATTAAGGTCGAAGGCAAGCAAAGAAGCAAGTATGAAACTAACGAGAATGTGAGGAGTTACACAAGAAGTGGGCATGCATGGTAGACGCGTCGCAGGCTGTGGATGGTCAACAACAAAGTAGCAGTTATTTCTTATGCCTATTTAAGTAGATTGTAATTTCAGTTTCGAGGTCGCATTTTGTAACATTGAAAAGGATACACAAAGTATTAGCATGTAAGAGAAATGAGTCATTTCTACACAAATGTACACATGCGTCTGTTTATCGTGAAAATTGGTAAACAATCACTGGTGTTCCAAAACACTAATTGATTTGATTCACTTGCAGGATCAACTAATGAATCCTAAGGACATAGCTATGGTATTTTATGCTTTTCTGGAAAATTCATAGAACACTTCGACAGTATTCATTGGTTTCTAAAAGAATTGTTTGATTGTTTTGTTTGAAAAAGGCTAAACTTTGTAAAATTTCGGTAAAGTAAAGCAATGAAGAAAAACAACTTCAAAGTAAAAAGAAATGTAGTAAAGAGAAATGAATAATAGAAAGTAAATTTCTATTGAATAAAATGCATGGTGTTTCAAACGTACATTTCTCAACAATGACTTTTTTCTCACGTTAACTTGGGTACTTTGAGTAAATTTGAGTATATTACAATAATTGAACACACAAAATCCTAATACTAAGATCCATATTTATAATGGTCGAAATAACTGCCTCTAATGAACATTTCTTCAATGGTTGACATGTTTCTCCCCTGCATGCTTTTTTTTCACCATGGTTCGTCACACGTCTTCTCTTAAGAAACGGATAAGGGCAGTTATCCATCCATATTTGAAGTTCAAATGTCTGTCGAAGGGACGCTCTATAGCATCCCTCCGTCGAAGTAATTTCCTATACTTAGAAAATATTTCTAAGTATTTGCTCAAGCATACCTCTTTATGAGAAACATTTCGACAGAATCTCACACCAACGAAATCAATCAAAATTAAGAAAATTTCATTTTTTACTTAGTTTCTTAAATGGGAACATGGCGTCGAAATTCTCAGCCAACAAATTACCCCTCAAAAATGTCATTTTCGACTAAAATGAAGAAAAATGCATTTTTTTGAAGTTTTCTCATTCGACACCAGCATAATCTCTTGGACTACTATGACGTCATTCACATCATGACAACTTTCCCCAAACGTCCCCTCAAACCCATGCATGAATCTTCTTCATCATCACACGTCTAGTCCCTAGGAGATCATGGGTCAGACCTTTAACTGCTACCGTCTCATCACACCACCCTCACATGACACGTGTCCCATGACTTTTATCACCATAAATGACATACAATGATCGTGCATAGTAGCCGTTCCACTTTAAACCATCTATAAAAGAGTGAAAGTTACCAGTTTTACTCTTTTCATTTTCTGAAACGTATCTTCCCAAAAACTTCATTTTTCTTCAAATATTTTTCTTTTCATTTTTACCACAACAATGGCCCCTTCTTCAAAAACCTCTAAGGAAACCAGCAAGGACGCAAAAGAGTCCAAGAAATCCAAAGAAATTCCTCCAGTCCATAGGATGTTGGGCCCAAACGCAGTTGGAAATCAACAATATATCCCAGAACCTCCAAATGAAGAGGAAAAACGTATAATGTATCAATCTCAGGTACTTAACCCTATTCTTGTTTCTGGAAAAACCCATGCCATGTTAGGTCCTTTACCTGATCTCTCTGCTGACCCCATAAAAGTGAGGGAGTTTTTCCAAGCTTATCACCGTTACAAACCCATAACAAACGGGTTGAAACCTAGAACTGGTAAGGAAATAGAAGTTGATGAAAAACAAAGGTAGATGGTCAATGTTCATCTTCGACCATAGCTTCTAGGGACTCTATAAACTTAGAATTCAAGAATACTAGCTCTAGGGTTTTTAGATCATACCTTTTTTCGAAAAACCCTTTCGACTACTTGGCTTAGTTAGAAAAGATAGAAAAAGTCAAGTCTCAATTTTGGAAGAAGATGGGTATCTATGACCTCATTCAGTTGTCGAAGATGTAGAAGCATACTTAAATCTCAAGGTTTTGATGATGTCAACAAGATTTAAGCTCATTTTGTGTTTGCAAAAAGTCAAGCTTTCAAAATGATCAAGATCAAGGCTACGCATCATCAATGGAATATTGCCATGCGAATCAAGCTT